TTTTCCCTTCCCCTGTTTTTTTTAAAAACCTTATTACAGCTGAAACCATTTTTTGCCCTTTTGATTAAAAAAAAAAAAAAAAAAAAAAATCCCTGCATGTTCATGTGATACTCTTATACCTTTCCCTAGTATTATGGCCCAGTTTCCACTTTTCGTAGGATTCCTTTTGAGTTTCACCTCAGTGTAGAGCTGACTATTTAGTCTGTCTGGCCTCCTGCTACACTTCCTGTTCCTTTTTCACATTGGCTAGGAACGGAAGTTACATACAAACTGGTTTAAGTGATCAGAAATTGGTTTAAGCCTGAAACGGAACAGAAGTTCAGTGCACATAAACCAGTTTCAAAATGGCCAAAACTGGTTTAAGATGGACCTGGCTGAATGTAGATTGAACCAGATTGAACTGATTTAGGTCAAACCAGTTTAAGGAACTTCTGTCCCAGATCCCTTCCTGGTTTAACTTACTTTGTAGTCTCCCAGCATCTCAAGATGCTTTTCAGGGCTGGACTGTCTGCTCCACTGGAGCAGGGTTGGCCCCACCCCTCTGCTCCCCAGCCAAAGCATTATCACTGCTGTGGCTGGCTGAGAAGACATGGGGGTGTGGGTCAGAAACCCTGCTCGGGACTGCAGCCCCTGCCAAGCTTTTTCCCACTCGGGGATGGGGGACATAGCCAGACCCTGGGCTGACCCCTGAGGTGAAGGAGGGGGAATGGAGGGAGATTTAATCCCCCTTCCCTCCCCTCTCCCACCAGCACAGGACCTCAGCTGGAGTTTCCCTGGCAGGGATGCAGCAGCCCTGCCAGGGTTTTCCCCCCGCCATGCTCGTTATTTGAAGGGCAGGGACAGACGGGGGTGATCAGACACCGCCCCCCTGAGGTGAAGGTTGGGGAGGGAGTGGAGTTTAATCCTCTCTCCCTCCCCTCTCCCACCAGTACAGGACCCTAGCCAGGGTCTACTTGGCAGGGGCACAGAAGGCTTTGCCAGGCTTTTCCCCACTCACTAGTCGAGCAGCGGGGGAAAGCCTAGCAGGGGCTGCTGGGCTGCTGTGTCGGTGGGAGAGGGGAGGGAGGGAAGAATAATATCCCCCACGCCGTTTCCCCCTTTTCACTGTTTTTTAGCCTTAGGTTTTAAAATTTTGGAATTAAATCATTTTATTGTACGTTTTGCAGAGAAAGACAATGTGAAAGTTTGGTATTTAATTTTCAGCTCTATCACAGCATGTTATTTTGGAGATATTCTTGAATTTTCCTCCACTTAAGATTGTATTATTTCCTGTATAAGAGAACTTAGAACTTAATTATGGTCTGCTTTAAACAAATTTCACTCAGTTGAGTGCAAGTTAGTGGTTCAGCCCATCAACTGTTCTCTGGTTTGACTGAGCTGTTATCTAACTTGCTCATCTTAGCTTTCACCAGATGCTGCTTTTAAGTCAGCAATGCACAGAGAAGATACTACAGAATTTTCTGATGTAAAAAGACCCAAGAAAACCAAAACAAAAAATTAAAACCTTACGAAAATGTTTCAGCCAGATCTTAAAACTTTTCTGTGTATTTCATGTCTTCTGACAGCTGAGAATTTCTTATGTTTGTCAGAGTTGTTCATGTTGAATTTTTATGTGCAACAAAGTGAATGTTTGAACAGCAATGATCATATGAAGATTATGACTTTTAGTTTGGTGCAAATAGTAACTGTACATTTCTGTTGGGGAAATAATTGTATATCAGCATGTTATTCAGTTAAACAGCATGTTTTATCTACAGGGGTTCAGAAGATGTGGTATTAAAGAACCAAAGGCGAGCACAGAGGTTAATCGAAGAAATCCATGCTATGAAGGTAATGTCATATATATACATTTAAAATTTAGTGTCTCTTACTTTAGTAACACAAATCTTTGCCCATTTTCTTGGAATAGGGTGTGAAAAGATTTACCTGCAATCTTTCCTAGGGCAGTTTGGCTGTGTATATTACTGTAGTGGAACAACTAAGAATATTTGCATATTTCCATGTTTGTTTAATATATCTGTCAAGATCTTAGACTAATTTGAATGTAAGACTTGCCAACCTAAACTTTGTATTTATTTAGGAATGCTCTGTGCCCAAAATTTTTAATGTAACAGTTACAAGTATAGGAATTCAAGTACATATGCTGATCAGGATTGTGGATGGCAGTCCTTTTTTTTGACATCATAGTCTCCTTACTGCCAAATCTATAAATTTTTGCATGGTGCTGTATTTTACTTTCAGCTTTAAAGCCCTATAGTAGGTGTTGAAATTCAAGTTGCAACAGACTGACTAGAAATATTGAATCATACTTTATTACTTTTTCTCTTTAGCCATTCATTAACATAATGTTCATGTCTTTTCAGTTCTCTTACTCTGAAACCTCATTTTATTTCTAGGAGCTGTTTTATAACAAAAATGTAACAGAGCATTTGTACAGATGATTGTACTAATTTTCATGGAAACTTTCTCAATTATGAATATTGTCTTGAATTACAAATTCTAACTTTCAGGTTTGAGCATAAGATGTCAATGCCAAGAAATCTATATTTTCATTTTAGATTTTCATTAAACTTCCATTTTGCTTAGGTCATTTATCACAATGTCTTTTTTGTGGCTGTCCTTTCTGATTTCAGGAGTCTCTAGGCTTTATATAATGTCAGGCAAAAATAGGATATTTTTTGGAGTTTAATTGGATTTTTGTTTTGTTTTTATTTAATAGGAGTTAGCTAGATGCGTTCCCTGTAACTCGCAATTGATTCAAAACCAGATAAACAAGAAACAGAAAAAAACCCCAGTCTCTCCCATATAAGCAAGTGAATGTTTATATAGGGCAACATTATAAAATGGAACAGCAATCAAAAAATGTGTCAGGTGAGTCATTTCAGAAGAATCCCATACTTCTGAACCCACCACGCAATGCTTTTACAATTCAAAGTACCGTTCAAATTCCTTCTGTCTTCAACCTTGGAGTTGAAAACAGAGAGAATTTAAATGTTACTTTGAAATGTAGGAACCATAAAAAAAACTTCCCATGGAACTGTCAGTTGAGGGGGCAGAAGAAAGTGTCATGCAAAGGAATGCCCAAACATAGTGAGTCGTTTACAGTGACTAGATAGTGCAAAAAAAAGTTGTGAATTCCCCTAGACAGTTGCATAAAAATGCATTGTTACACAGGTTGGGAAGCTGATATTAGCCTGTATGCTATTTTTCCTGGAGTAGATGCTTGAAGTCTATGCCAGCTGGTTCTCTGGCATTCATTAATAGTTCAGAAATAATAAACAGAGAAAAGCAATAAATATGGTCATATTTTAACTATGCTAGTTAAGCCATTGGCCATCTTGCTTTAGAGATTTTCCTACCCTATCTGTTGGAAGCTGTAAAACTGAAGCTGTGGAATCAGGTGATTTACTAGCTAATGTTTTTTGGTGAACACAAGCACTATAGACTCTATAGTTTGATATAGGGGGTTTTAAATATATTTTTAAAAATTAACTTGAAGTAATTGCATTTGATGTAGATTTTTGCATTTCTCTCTAAATAACCAAAGCAATTGTATGGCTGTGCATGTAGGTAAAGGTTGTAATGTAAAGGAGGCCCGTCAACTGAGGGGCTCCAAGCCACAGGGGTTCACCACCTCCTGCCAGCAGTGGTAGGTCCTACAGTGGTGGTAGCGTTGCTGGTGCTGCTTCCCCATGCAAGCATTATTGGCTGTGGGGCTTGCAGTGGTGGCCAGTGCTGCCCCCTGCTATGAGCCCCAGTAGATTCAGGATTCATAGCTGAGAGCCGGTGCAAGGGGAGCCCAGGATCATATTTCTGGGCTCCCCCTGCACCAATGATAAGGCGCAGTGGGATCTTATGTGCAATCCCAATTGCATCTCCTGCCCTGCATGTGTGGCATGACAGGAGGCATGATTGGGTGGATCATGCTTTAGATCCCATTGTGCCTTTACCTACACACGTGGAGAGGTGCTTAGTATATTTCCATCCACCAGTTGGGACTAATACTTCCCACAACACTTACTGCTGTTGTCTAGAAGGAAATGTGACCTGCAACAGAGTTTTATGTAGCTTTTTACTATCTGTGGAGAGGATTGGATTTCTAATTTTTTTTCCTTCATACTCAAAAGTATAGTTTGGCATGGTAGGAACAATTATGGCAGTGATTTTCAATCAGGGTCATGCAGTGATCCACTTGGGTGCCCTGAGATCCTTCAAGGATGCCATGGGATACCGTACAATATTAATACTGTTGGGTATACAAATGTGTTGCACAACATAAACCCAAAGGTTTCAAATAAGAATCCGTAGTGTTAAAAACATTTTGACCTGTTGTAGTCTTCTTGAGTTCTTTGCAGCAGTAGAATTGCTCTATTATTTTTCTGTAGTGGAAAAAAAAAGTGAAAGCTAGGAGCCAGAACTTATGGGGGGCATGCCTCAAATCTAACGGAAGGTGCTTAGAGTCAGTTAGATCAGGAAAGATTTCTGCTCTGGTAAATGTGAATCTTCAGGAGGAAGAGGGTGCAGGAAGTTATATGCATAGTGTGGGCCCCCCAGGAATCCAATGGGTGATGCATGTAAATAGCCAGATAAGAAATTTTACTTAAGCTTTTCCTGAAGAGCATGGGGTTGTCTTCAGTTTTCCTGAGACTAGGGAAACACTGGAGTCCTTCAACCTAATTAAAGCAGGCTGATTAAAGAAGCTGATGGGGAAAAAGAATTGCAAGACGTGTTGACAAAGACATCAGAGGTTGAAACTGCTTCCTAACCTGTTGCACTGGGTAGGAAGTGCAGTTTTGGATATTTAATGCAGGATAAGAACAGGCTATTGTTCTGATATTTTCTTGTTTATTCTTTTATCTCCATCTGTATCCTGGCATGTTGTTACTGATTTCTTATGTCTGCTTTTGCTTTTTATAATAAATCTTTTTGTTATCCTTTTAATCCGCTTTATTGTCATGTATAATTGTGACTTGAGAACATTTGACAATACAGACAAACCTCTTCCACAGACAGGGGAGCCATCTTTTCTGAGCATATGACCAGATAAGGGTGTGATTCTTCTTGCTGGCAAAATTCCTTCCACTAAGAACTGGCAAGACCGTGGCCCAAGGAGATGGCCTCTCACACATCTCAGCTGGTTCTGTGGTCAAACAGCAGGTGGCAGGGAGTGGCTTGGGGCCTAAATGCAACCCTAAAGGTGCAAGAGTACCCAGGGAGCATGTCTCAGAGGCTGATCTTACCACATCTGAGGTCAGAGAGTGTCTCAGTGCTCTTTGGCAAAATCTGCATGTATAATCTGACAAGTTGACATAGGGTTGTGAGTCTCTTTGATCTAGTATTAATACAGTGTGCAAACAGCTGAAAAAAAAGAAACGTGAAAGTTTAGGCTCTATTTAAGTTGGAATTAAATTGGTTCTAATTAAGTTGGAGAAAGGAATTCCTTCACATCTGAGTGGTGTTTTTCAAAGACCAGGATCATTCAGCATATCTTCAGTATTAAAAGATATTGGGAAGGGGTATGTGTGGAGGGGGAATTCCAAATCACCGTTGCCCTGGTAGTGTCACTCAAAAAGGAGAAAAGAGACTCTGGACCAGGAGTCAGCAATGTTTTTGGACAAAGTGTCAACCCCCTGCAGAAACCTAGACTTGAAAGATGTTGGCGTGCCGGGGCAGATGTCAGGGGAGCTGTGAGAGGCCCAACCCTTGTGGCAGTGCAGCCCTGTCTCCTTCCCCACAATCTACCCCAAGGTGCATGTGCACCCAGTGCCAGCAACAAGTTGAGCTGGGGCTTCATGGATCCTGGTGTAACTGCTTGCAGCCTGGACTCCAGAGCTGCTTGCCCAGAGCCCGGGCCAGCTGTGACATGCTGATCAAAATGGCTTCATGTGCCACGCTGTTGGCGCTGGATTTATGACCTAGATACTTTGTTCCGGGTGGACACAAACCCTCAGACTGACCACGACCTCTCCACTCGATAATAGACAAATTTTATTGATGTACAGTGATAGCAGATAAGAATAATGCAAACAATTCTATCTCTACTGGTCCTAAGTCACAGAGGGAAGGTACATCAGGCCAGTATGCAAGCTTCACTCCGAGGTTCTTTCTTGAATGTCAGATGTCAGCAGCCTGGAGGTCAAAGACCAAGGGGCCCCTCCGCCTTCTCCCCCATCCCTTGCCCATGGGGTGGGTCAGACGGGCTAGTGCTAGCCTTTTGTCCATGGTGGCCTCAGGTTCCCCTCTCAAGGGACCCTTTGTTGCTCTGAAATCCCTTGCTTTGTATTCTTTCTCCCTCCTGATGACTTTTCATCTCTGGGCATTGCTGATTGGCTTTCCTGTGGTCATCATACTGTCCACATTCTGTCTTGTCAGCATATTCCTTTGTTCCAAGAAACCCATCACATATACACAACTTAATTTGGTTATTTACCAGTCATCTTAATTTGGTCTGTTCACCAAAGCCAGAAATCTCAAGGGCTCTGCAGTTGGATACTGTGACCTAATGCCACATTATCTCATGTTATGGAACAGTGTAGTACATGTCTTTAATTTCCCAGTCTGTGTGGTCTTGAAGGAAACTATCACAAACAGGCTTTAAAAATCAATTAACCCTTGCCATTACCCCATGATCATTGCTCTAAGGCAATATCTACTTTACCTACAAGCCAATTCCCAAAAGCAAACCTTTAAATACCATTTTCTACCCAATGATGCTCTGGCAAGCATACCAAAGGCTGCCAACCCTTGTTCTAGACTAGTGGTTCTGAACCTTTTTCAGTCAACGTCCCCCTTGGTCTCAGAGTGAGATTTCACATGCCCCCTTTCAATGG